CCTTGTCGGGCATCACCAGCACGTTGTTCTTGCCGAAGAGCAGCGCTGCTTTGGAGTTCTGATGCAGACTCTCCACATAGTCTTTGGCGATGTGCTGCGAACTGTTCCTGCTAACCAGCGAGTCGTCCGACGACGTGTTCAATGAGCGCCCAAAGTTCAGGATGGGTCTTCTGACTGGCGGCGGAGTGGAATGGCCGCTGGATATGCGGTGCATTTTGACCTGAAAAGCCACAGCAGTCGCCCCATTTATTCCGCAGCTGCCGCAGGCTCACCAGCTCGTCTGCAGGAGGATCCGTCCAGAAGTGCTCGATGCTCTTCGTTCGCGAGTAGTCCAGCGCGCACGGCCCCACCAGTAACGAGCTGAGAATGGTTCCGTAGTCTGGATCGGCCACCAGGGCCTCTTTGTCGTAGTATTTGGACGCGTTGTTGACCAAGTGGTCGATGATCTTGGCCAGCTGCTTGTCGAACAGCGCCAATCTTCAATTGAGAATTGCATGTAACAATCAAAAGTACCCCCGAGTAGGCCGAACAGAGTCAAGAAGACGCTCATTTATACAACACGTGGTTGCATTTTGGCGGTGGTTTGTCATCGACAGGCTCTAAAATTAAGCTCCAAAGTGGGTTTTGAGGGTTTTTAATAGAAATATTGTAAAAATGGAAATTATGGGGATCAACAGTGAGTGTGTTCAGTTTCCCAAAAGACGATGGGTTGTTAAAACAGTGGCAGCGACAATTTTCAGCCCACGAAAAACAGCAGAATTTGTCTACACCATTTTCGACAAGATAGTCTAATATGGATAAGTACTTCCTATAACGACCAGGTTCGATTCCGACCATTTTCCCCAATTGTCCTTCTTACATGTCAAAATCTAACTCAATAAGTAGACAAAAAGAAAAAATTAATTACTCGAACAGGAACATTTACGAAAGGCTCTCGCAGAGAGTAAAAACAGTTTCCTCGCGTATAAGTCAGTAACTTTTGAAGATTTTGAACAATTTATGTATATTTTCAACTCTTGGTCTCTCCCTGATGAGTGGCATAAAACAATTACTAAACAAAACCAACTAATTCTATTTAAAATTCAAAATTCTCCTGGACCGGTTATCACATACTCAGTTGCTATAAATTCAAATTTAAAATTAGAAACCTACTTATTTGAACAGGAAATTTTTTTGCAGGTTGACAAATTTAAATCTCCATTTGTTTTGAACGACATCAACATTTTATCTAGTTTATTAGAAGAAATTAATAATATAACAGTTAACAAAAGTGACGAGTCAACTATTAAACAAAACCAAACGTTCCAACGCAGCATAAATCACATTTGTATCATTTAAAAAAATTTGAATTGTGAAGAAAATAATGACCTGTTAGTTTTTGTTTCTGAACAGCTAATTATGTCTACACAATCCAAAAGATATCGATATTCACCCGACACTATAATTCTATGTTCGATATTAAATACCATAAGTTCACACAGCTACAGGTATTTAAGACATTAAAGTGCTTTAATTTTACCACACCCCAGCACATTGAAAACTGCCTGTAATTCTTATGTAACAGATCCTTCTGCCGAGGAAAAACATTCTTTTTTGAGTTACGCAAAGAATTGGTTCAAATACGTAGAAGACCGGGAAGAATATATCATTTTACTTATGGATGAAATACATATTAAGCCCATATTTGGACTATAAAGGTGGAACTGTTGTAGGCGCAGCTATAAATTCTAACACTTTGGCTAATTCTGCATTTACTTTTATGATAACTCGCCTATGTTCAAATTTCAAAGAAGTTATTCATATCTCACCTGTAACAAAAATTAATCACGAAATTTTTTATAGTTTAATTAAATCTGTAATTATTGGTCTTGAAGAGGTCGGGTATAAAATTTTCTGTATTATCACTGATAACAATGCTATAAATAGTAAAGCTATGAACCTTTTTTCACCACAAAAACAATTAAGCATTGTATATCCMCATCCTGTAAAWGCTAGCCGGCCTTTGTTTTACTTATTTGATACAGTGCATCTTCTAAAATGTATTAGAAATAATTGGATAAATTCTAAGCCTGATAAAGTGCTTACTTATCCTGATTTTGAGACAGGTGAGAGAAAGTTTGCTTCATTTACCAGTTTAATTGATCTTTATAACACGGAACATGACAAACTGCTTAAATTTGGATACAATTTAAC